TATGCACACATACATATATGCTCACACATATATGCACATGCACATATATGGATAATGGCTCAGATTGAGGAATTGGAGAGCCAAGTTTGAATTCCGGTCGAGTTCATTACATTCTGTTATGTACTAATACCCTTGGGAAAGGTATGAATCAACCTCTTCTCCCCCTGCCCCCAACTAAGGGTAAATAACAGGAAAGACTGCTTCCTATAATCTTGTGTGGCAACTGGTCTAGGAGAAGGAAAAACTCTGAATTCAAAACCAGCTTGAAGAAGATTGTGTGCCTCCAAGTTATTTTGCCCAGGAAACACCACTGCTACTGAAGCTTCTGTAAATTTGGTGCTCCTAGGACTTTAGAGAGGTCAGTGTCAAAAAAAGAAAAAAAATATTTTGTGATAAATATTTTATTTTCAAGAGAGAAACAATTTCGTTTTTAAATTTGATCATTTTGCAGTCTCTTATCAATATATTTTTGATATGATTCATTTTTGTGGTGTAAGTTCAGTTGAAAATAGCAGGCATTTATTTGGGGATATAAACTTTTACCCTATGTGTGGATTTGAAATGGATTTGATTCTTTCAATGCAAATGCTCCATTATTTTGCATATAGTTCTTTTAATTTTTTACCATTTTTGTTTTTTGGAAATTTTTTTTGTTATTGACAGACATACTCATATCCTTGCCAGGTCTGTTTTTGTCTCTCTGTTGTCGACACATGCACACAAATGCACACAAACTAAGGGAAAATCAAAAAAAAGATATACCATACATTTTGACTGATATATTATCTACATTGTTCAGACAGTTGTCCTCATTTTTATCGTCATATTCACAATGTTTCGGCACCTTCTTCAGGTGTATTTTTGAACGGAATAATTTATTTAGTCCTTATTTATATGTCTTTTCTGGATATCTTAGTTAATTCCCTTTTAGTAAATCAATTTTTCAAGTTTTTTGTTCGCCTCTGCTGTGGCCAGGTATTGAACTCACAACTCTTTAGATCAAATCACTGGATTACTTCAACCAACACTTTTATCCACTGGGCCATGTGTTATTGGGAACATAATTATTATGGTCTAATATCCTCGCACCACAGTTATAGTCCAAGGTTAGAACCAAGGAAGAACAACATGAACACAAGAGTAGAATAACAAAGATATATTACAACAGAAATATAGTACAAGAAGTTGAAGGTGTTAGTAATGATTATCCATCTGGTTTAGAGTGAACTAATATTGTCTTGACTTGTTATACCATTCATTCATTATACCTCGTGAGAGGCACAGTATTTATAGTGTCAGGAAGAGTCCATTATCGTTATACGTAAGTTCCCATAATAATCTAAAAAAATATACTATGTATTTTGGCTGATGTACTATCTACATTGTCCAGACAATTGTCCTTGTCTTGAGTGTCATATTCACAATGTTTCCACACCTTCTTCAGGTGTATTTGTGAACCAAACAATTTATTTAGTCCTTATTTATATGCCTTTTCTGGATATTTCAGTTTCAGTTAATTCCCATTTAGTAAATCAACTCTCCAAGTTTTTTGTTCACCTCTGCTGTGGCCAGGTATTGAACTCACAACTCTTTGGGTCAAATCACTGCATTACTTCAACCAATACTTTTATCCGCTGGGCCAAAATTGATTCAATAAAACTTTTATTCTTTTTCTCTGTTTTTGAGTGGACTAAATAAAGGGTTTGGTTCAAAATTCTAATGTGTATCACCTGATGAAGGCCGGAGTGTACAATGACAGAAATGTCGTGAATATGACAATAAAGATGAGGACAACAGTCTGAATAAATTAAATAGTGTAGATGAGGATATTAGTTCGAATGTCAGTACTGATAATTGTTTATATTTCTGAGTATTCTAAATTCTATTTATACTATTTGGACTGTTGTCTTCATCTTTATTGTTATATTCACAATGTTTTCGCTGTTATGCTCTCCGGTCTTCTTCAGGTGATATATGTTGGCATTTCGAACCAAACCCTTTATTTAGTCCGCTGGGGTAGGTTGTTCTAGTTCCACATGCCATGCCTTTTCTGGATATCTCAGTTTCAGTTATTTCTCTTTAGTAACTGAACTCTCCAAGTTTTTGTTCACCTCTGCTGTGGCCAGGTATTGAACTCACAACTCTTTGGGTCAAGTCACTGGATTACTTCAACCAATGATTTTATTCAGTGTTATTGGAGACATCAGTGTATGAATTTTGGGAACTTATAAACCTAATGTTTCAGTAACCATTTTTTTACCAGATGTCATATTACAATTTGTTATTGTTATTTTTCTCTATCACTTCATATTACAGGTTCCTATATTGTATTCATTGTATTCCTATGCTTGGCCTGCTTAGGAGATTTTTGTAGCCTAGCACATGCACTGATTTCTTAAGGTTTTCCAATGATGTTCTCTGTCTATTATTTCCACAGAGGGTGGTGATCTCCCTTTTCTTTCCATATATGGTTGGCCATGCCTGATTTTTCTATTTCTCCTCATGTTACAGCTTTATGGTGCTCCTGTAGTCTTATCTTAAGGGGCAGCCTGTTTCTCCTTTATATTTCTTGCCACAGCTACACAAGATGATGTACACACAGTTCTTAATCATGTGGGCGGTCTTACTCAAAATAGGCATTTCTATAGTATTGAAAGACTCTTGAAGTTTGTCCTGATGTTATATAGACCACAGATCTTTTGTATTTTTTTTAATAATCCCTTCACAGAAGGTAGGCAGACCAAAACTGTTTTCTGAGTGTTGTTATCCACTTGTACATTCTATCTCAGTGTGGGAGCTGCTGTCATGTACTGCTGTCGTGAATATGACAATAAACCTGAGGACAACAGTCTGAACAATATAAATAGTTACAATACCTCATTTCAGAAATATAGACAGATCCTGAAGAAAGCTGGAGCATACAATGGATGAAACGTCATGAATATGACAATAAAGATGAGGACAACAGTTCGAACAATGTAAATAGTGTAAATAGTTGCAATACCTCATCTCAGAAATAGAAATATTCTTGTAGATGTTGAAATATATTTTCTGCTAGAGCCAATGATTGATGATCAAGCTGTGTATAAACAGTATTTCAAATGCTGATTTTTAAGGTGAACATGCCCACCCTACTTGTAGGCTTAGTGCTCCCATTTTATAAAATTTTTAGTTAGTACTGTGGAAGTTAAAAGATTGTAGAGTTCATGTGTATTTTATGTGAAGGTGCATGTTTAATAAGTAAGCAAAAAAGATAGAAGCACATAAAAACTTGAGTTTCTGCTATGAACATTTATTCTTTTTATGGTGACTGTAGTGAAACAAAGTTCTCTGTTGCTTGGTTGTGTCCATTCTCTTTCTGATCCAGAGAATTAGGGTAGGTAAGTATGACAATCATATTCATGGTTGAGCTCAAGTCAGCCTTGGGTAGAGTTGGAAGAATCAAAGGAATGTTTCTACTTACTTTATCATTGAAAGGTTTAAATATGGTTATTTGATGTCCATTTTCTTCTGCTTGATCCAGAAGTTAGGGTAAGGTAGTATAAGCATTGTTACAAAGGTTGTGCTCAAGTCAGCCTTGTGCTAAGCCAGAACAACCAAAGAGAACACTTGAATTACTTCTGAGGTTTTGAAAGAAATGTGTGAGGACCATGCATTGGAAAGTGGGAACAGAGTTCAGTCATCAGTAGACTATGGAAAATAACATTCCCCACTGGGAATGTAATAACCCCAAGGTTCACATCTTGGAGCAAAGTGGACAAAGAGTCAGGAAAGAAACGTTTTTCTTTTTATAGGCTTCAACAACGCCACCTATTGATGTTTGATGAAACCAAGTGGGGTTAATTACATTTCCAGTTCCTTTACTCTTAGCCTCATGGGAAAATGTATTTCTTTTTCTTTTTTTTTTATTATTCATTATTATTATTATTTTATTTATCAGTTTTCTTTCATTTTCACACAATAGTATAAAAATTAAAAATAATAATTAATTAAAAAATATGAATAAATACATATTAAATAGACTGAGTCTTATAAACTTACTTTTGGGAGTAGTGTATTAACAGTGTATCAAAAATTGTTTCATTTGTGGGTAAAGGTTTTTTTTTATTTAGAATTGGCTCTAAAATGACCATCAGAAATAACTGTTATGGTGGACTGTTGGGGGTTCATTTGTTTTAAATTTAAAAAATATATTTGTCTTGTATTTTTTGTCTAATGAAAAGGGTTAGTTCTGCCCTCATAAAATTTAAAGATGAATCTTGTTTGATTCACCCCAAGAGTATATAAGAACACAGATCAGTGGATAGGGAAGGGAGTGATGCATCACATGGAAAAAAATTAGACATCAGAAAAAGAAGCAGGCTGACTGGCCACAGAAAAGTTTTAAGCTTTCTTGTGTGAAAGCTGCCAGCAGAGTAAAGGGTAGAAAGGTTTCAGCATTCTTAAAAACTACACCAATGAAAGAATGGGAAAATCAAAAGTCAAAGAAACATGAGGAAGTCAAATAAAAAGAAAACCAAATGACATTGCAAAAAGATTGTTAAAGGCCTCAGTAAATCATGTGGTATTCAAGCAGAAAGAAAACTAAACAATTTTGCAAAAATATCGTCAAGCCATCAAGAGATTCTCGTGGGAAAAACACAGATTTTTTCATTTATCTATTAGATGGGTGCACTTTTTTGCTAAGAGTAAATTCTTTAAATGTTTTTTCATTCGTGATTTGAAAAAAGATTATATTGTAAACTTTTTTAGATCTAATTATTTCTATAATTGTGTTATCTATATCAGTCTGTTCATCTCTCTCTCTCTCTATCTATCTATCTATCTATCTATCTATCTATTTATTATATGCTAGTGTACTCCTTTTAACTACCATGTGTGATTAGTATTTAGGAGGATATATTCCTCATTACAATTGCTTCCCAAAAACAGTAATTACCTATGGCTGAATTTTACATAACAGCAATAGGTTTTACCATATTTTGACTGAAAGATTCTTATTAAAAAAGAATAAATTTATTAAGGCAAAAATAAATACCCTGTATGGAAAAAAAACAAATTTGGCCATGGTCATTGCCATAGGAAATCATTGGAAAGTATTTGACTGCAGTAATATCTAATTTCCTGAAAAACTCTTTTAAGATTTTATAAATTTCAATCAATAGTAATGCTAACTGTTCAATCAATGAATGGGGAATGTTTCCTGTAGGGAGATGGTTAATTTCACGATTGTGGTTAACTTAGCCATATCAATATAAAAATAGACAAAAAAAGAACAGGATGTGGCTAGAGATATATAGGAACAGAGTGAAAATAGATAGATACACAGATATGAACAGACTGATATATATAAAAATATATGTATATTCATATATGTATATGTATATATATATATATAGAGAGAGAGAGATACATAGATAAATAGATGGATGGATAGATAGATAGATACATAGATGGATGATTGGATAGAAAGATAGACAGATATGAACAGAGTGATATGTATAAAAATATATGTATATTCATATATGTATATGTATATATATATATATATAGAGAGAGAGATACATAGATAAATAGATGGATGGATAGATAGATAGATACATAGATGGATGATTGGATAGAAAGATAGACAAATATGAACAGACTGATATATATAAAAATATATGTATATTCATATATGTATATGTATATATATATATATAGAGAGAGAGATACATAGATAAATAGATGGATGGATAGATAGATAGATACATAGATGGATGATTGGATAGAAAGATAGATATGAACAGACTGATATATATATATAATATATATATATATAGAGAGAGAGAGAGAGAGAGAGTGGTACATATATACATAGATAAATGGATGGATCGATAGATACATAGATGGATGATTGGGTAGAT